TTTCATCTTTTCACGGTGTAAAATTTACCCTTTTATCATTACTGTTTCATTAGAAACACCGACGCAGCTCACACTAGTTTTTAGCTATAGTCATCTCTTCATATTGAAGATAATAAAGATAATTCAAATAATACCATATTTGATCTTACATTTCGAAAATTCTATACCCGGTTTAAGGTATGACTCGCGCGGTGCTTGGCAACTCGTCTTGTTTTAAAAGGTGAATTCAATTTTACGTTATTTGGTCGTACCTTGCGAAAGTTCTTTACCAAGTTTAAAGTGTGAATGTGCGTGTTGCTTGGTAACGAGTATAATTTAAGGTGAATTCAAACAATACCATATTTGGTCGTATGTTGCCAAAGTTCTTAACCATATTTTAAGGTTTGACGTGTGTGTTACTTGGCAACAAGTATGTTTTTCAAAGGTTTATTAAAATAAATACAATATTTGGTCTTACCTTTCGAAAGTTCCCAAGTTTAAGGTGTGTCTTGAGCGTTGATTGACAACAAGTCTAGTTCTTTTGAAAAGGTGAATTCAAACAATACCATGTTTGGTCGTACTTTCTTAACCAAGTTTAAGGTGTCACGTGTGTGTTGCTTGGCAACAAGTATGTTTTTCAAAGGAGAATTAAAATAATACCATATTTGGTCTTACCTTTCGAAAGTTCTTTACCAAGTTTTTTAAGCTGTGGCTAGCGTGGCAACAAGTCTGCCTTTTAAAAGATTTTGTGAATTCAAATGAAAACCTATTTGATCTTTCCTTGACAAAGTTCTTTACCCTGTTTAAGGTGTGACTTACGAGTTGCTTGGCAAATAAGCCTTGTTCTTAAAGATAATTCAAATATGACCATATTTGATCTTACCTTGCGAAAGTTCTTTACCAAGTTTAAGGTGTGAATGTGCGTGTTGCTTGCCAACAAGTATACTTTTTTGAAAGATGAATTCAATAATACCAAAATTTATCGTACCTTCCGAAAGTTCTGTACCCAGTTTAAGGTATCACTTGCGTGTTGCTTGGCAACAATACTGGTTCTGAAAGGTGAATTCAATGACACCATATTTGGTCGTACCTTCCGAAAGTTCTTCACCAAGTCTAAGATGTGACTTGCATGTTGCTTGGCAACTAGTCCGGTTCTGAAAGGTAAATTCATATGCTACCTTACTTGATCGTACCTTGAGAAAGTATTTTCCCTAGCTTAAGGTGTGACTTGCGTGTTGCTTGGTAACAAGTCTATTTTTAAAGATGTATTCAAATAATACCATATTTGATCTCACCTTACGTAAGTTCTTTACCAAGTTGAAGAAGTGACTTGAGGGTTGCTTGGCAACAAGTATATATTCGGATCTTAAATCGAAGGCTCAAATATTTGGTCGCATCGTGATGTAGGTCAATTAAGGTATCTCTTGGTGATCTCATAAATATCGTTGCATGGCGACAAATCTTTCCTTAGTTTGTTATATAAAGACGGCATTTTAAAGATAGACGTGTTGACTTTGGTATGAATAGGAATATGGCGATGACTCGTCAACCTCCACAACACGATGACAGGAAAAATATAATATTTTGTACTTCGCTGCCTCCAGTCCCGAAAGGAAAGGTTTTTTCCTCTGCAAATCCTTTATCCACACCTAAAGAAGCACTTTCTGGCCATCACTCAGAAAAAACAGTGGAGGAACCAGAACTTGAACGAGTCAATGATGTGTTTCTGAACTCAATGCTCAAGGATGTGAAACTTTCACTCCATCAGTATCGGCAATTAAAAAAGTTTTTGTTCCATACCAAGCCCCAAACGCACTATCGCCGATAAGTTAAATGCAATCAGCGAATTTCGGCAGTGATCCCTTCTCAAAATTATCCTTGATGAGGCTAACATGGAAATACAAAAGAAATGCCACAAATTCCATCGAAATAAAGTTTTTTGTGTGTTTTCTTGTTGGCCTCGAACCCACTACAATTTCGAGAAGAGTCCACTTTTTCCAAAATTTGTCTGAACGTTTTTCGACATTTTTTTCTTTTCTTTTTTTTTTTTTTTTTTTTTTTTTTTTTTTTTTTTTTTTTTGCTGACATTTTTTATGATCCAACGATACACTTCAAGAAACACCATGCAGCAAATCCTTCGCCAGCGTTTTTTAAATAGCCGTAAATTAGTGAAGTATGAAACATCCGGAATGAAATATGTAATCTTGACACACCACACTAGTAATTACTTTGAAATAATGAAAAAAAACTTTATAGATTAAAAAAATGAGAAGTAATTTTACCAGCTTTCTTATTGCTTTACGTGTTACCAGGAAATTGGTCAATACGCTGTCGTCAATCAGATTATGTAAAGGCCGGTTTAGACGGTACGATTTTCGCCTACAACTATCGTATACAACACGCTCGCGTCTGTCGTAGGCGAGTTGTAGGCTTGATTTACACGCTACGACTTGAGTTGTAGGATGGAACGAGCGTGTTGTATACGATAGTTGTAGGCGAAAATCGTACCGTCTTAACCGGCCTTAAAGGTGCCAAACAATTCATTGGATTGACGACAGTCATGATATTGAACAATTTCCCTGCGCGACATTAGACTCGATCACTAAAAGGAATTATTGACACAAAAAGGATTTTCAATTCCAAACCGTTATTTTTTTCCACAAAATTTAAAAATCAGTTTGCATATTTGCTTGCCTTACTTATCAAAATGTTTCTGCAAAGTTCTGCACAATCTTTTGTTAATGTCTTCATTGACAATTCAAACATTCCTTGTTACAGAGCCTTAACCAGAACTTTTACAGGGAGGGTGCACATCGAATAAAATCGGACCATTGATCGTTTTTGATTATTACCAACTAGTGGCGTAACTAGGGATCTTGCAGGGAGGTGCACAGGCAATAATTTTCAGAACCAAAAAGAAAAAAAAAGGTAACCAAAAGAAAGCAGAACCAAAAAAAAAAAAAAAGGAGATGGATGAGCGGACCTTAAGCTTTTATGGTGGGGGGGGGGGGGGGGGGGGGTGCACGTGCACCCAGTGCTCCCCCTAGTTCAGTATGGCCCTGTGTTAATTTTAGTATAGAAAATTACAAATGTGCTTATAGTATTTTTAGGGTTAAAAGACAAAAGCTTGAAAAATTTTCTACTTTCGATATGGTTTATTATTTTAGATATTATCATGCCAATACGTAAACAAAACATTTCTCTATTTACTATCTACTAGTACCGCGTACATAATATCTATCTGTAAATGTAAAAAAAATTCGACTGTTGAAAAAAGAACATTCATTTACAAAGAGATATTGTGTACGAAGCACTAGTAGATAGTAAATAGAGAAATGTTTTGTTTACTTGCACATAAACATGTTACAATGCCAAAGCGGCATTTCACTCTTTACAAACTGCTCATGCACAATTAATTTCTGTGTCTACCTATCTTGATGTGATTGTAAAAAAATATGTTTGTTGAAAATATTGGAAGAACTTTCACTTTCGATATGTCTGAAAGTTTCAACTTGCGATATGGTCGTTTATTATTTTTGCAAATTAACGTGACACGTTACCATAGCGGCACTCATTTCTCTCTTTACTATGCCGCGCATTCAAATAACGCTGTCTATTTGTCGTGATGTAATTGCCATATTTCACTATGACGTCAAATCAAAACAATCTATTGTTTAAACGCATAGGATCATGGTCGTCGGAGGGGCTCAAATCATCGCAAATTCACCGAAAATTGTTCTAAAAACCCGTATCAAACCACGAAGAGAAGTATAATAGCCAGCAAACGATTAGAATATTTTTTAGTACATATTAACTCATATATCTGAAAACCAGGCAATTTTAGATTAAACTGTTTCGCTAGGAGCATATTGTGTTGAATTTTCTATTGGATTTGGCGATTCTTTCCCCCACATAAACAAGCAGTGACGTCATAGTGAAATAGGGCAATTGTAAAAAAAATGTGACTGTTGAAAAAAGTTGAAGAATTTTCAACTTTAAATATGCCTGTTAACTTGCACATTAACAATGCTATGTTATCAAAGCATTTTTCTTTTTTGCTATGTAAGGCATGAATAATATCAATCTATCTATCTATTTGTTGTGTTTTCGTGGTGCAATGGTTGAAATCATTTCTCCAACAGTCCCTATTCGTAGTGCATACTCTAGATATGCAGCCTTGTTTCAGGATAATTGTCGATCGTTGCTTTTTGATGTGATCCAAGTTTCCCTGTGTTTGGCTCAAAAAACTTTTAAGATGTAGTATATATTTTCAGTTTAAAGATATAGTTTCTAGTCAAGCCCGCTCGTGTACAACTAAAATACCCCCTAGATATTCGTAGTGTTTTACTTCATTTTTCATCTCGTATTCTGTATTAAGGTCTGTGGCTGACCCTTTCTCAGGGACGGACCCATGGACTTGGTATGGGTAGCTAGTCATCCCTCTTTGGAGTTTAAAAAAAATGGATAAAAATCAAAACCCTTAAAAGGACATTTTGTGATAATTACCTTTCTAGGTAATAGCCACTAATCGTTCTGGATCCGTCACTGCCTTCTGCACTCAGAGCTGAACTCAAGAATGACACTCTTGCATGAGAAAAATCCTTCACTGTCTCCTTGACTACATTATTTGATTATCAATTGTATTTCCTTGAAGCCATCCAGGATATGAATACCTACTTAGAAAATCACCAACAGACATTTATAGCTTGGTGGTTTGTTGTGCACATTGCAGACCATCTGATGCTCCTCCTGGGAACTGATTCTTTCTTGTGTAAATATAAAGAATCTGGGCGGACCGTTGGGGGCGGCTCCGTTGGTGGAGGTGGGAAGAAAGTTCATCACAAAAGAACAATTGTCGAAGGTACATCAGGTGATCTGAAGGTGCGATTTACATACGAAGCTATAAAGGTCTGTTTAAGTGAATCTCTTAAACTAGATGTAAGGAATCAAGCTTAAATGTAGTGCTGTAAATTACAATTCTGTTGACAATTCGGGATTTGAACTTTCCTTAACGCTTCAAAACCAAAGGTAGGATCATGGAGCTGTGCGTCCTGGTAAGACGAAGAGTTAATAAGCTGTGATGTGCTGCCGGTGTGAGAATGGGTCGGCGAATCTCCACCGTGTTCTCCAATGCCGTGCGGATGGCTATTATCTGCAAAATCCTCATGAGGTGGCAGAACTGCATTAATGTAATCGGGCTCGTCATCGTCAGAGTTGATCGATTCTTTCTCGGATGCCAGGAAACCGGTATCAGAATATGGGGCCGGTGGGGGCGGCTCCGTTGGTGGAGGTCGCAAGAAAGTCCCAAAATTAATCCTGTCATCGTCCTCGTCATAGTTGATCGATTCTTCCTCGGAAGCCAGTGAATCGGCATCAGAGTCTGGGACCGGTGGGGGCGGCTCCGTTGGTGGGGGTGGGAAGAAAGTCCCAAAATTAACCCTTTCATTGTCATTAAAGAACCCTTCTTCCTGATCGTGCCTGTCATGGTCCTCATTATGATAAGCTTCATTGATACAGTTCATGACGTCCGGTGATGTCTGGACTTCCTCGGAACCAACAGAAGAGGTTTCGTCAACCATATTGTTTGTTAACCCTTGGTGGGCTTCCTGTTGTTTAGCAAGAAAAGTTTTTATCATTTTTTTCATTGTGTTTATGGTCTTTATGAATTAATGCGCTATTTAACAAAGAGTTCCGAGTTGGGTAAGCCGAATCAGTTATCCACTGGATAAGCTATGTTAGCCATTCTGAGGTTGAGCGAAAAACTGAATGGAGTTGGGTTTGGAGTGAATTTTGAAGCTTTTTTAGTGAGACTAAATAGACGCCATCTTGGAACTCAACCCAGGTTTCTTTCAAAGGAATATCATAATGTATCCTGTTGATCGAACTCAAAAAACGCCAATGGAAACAGCTTTGCGTTTCCAATAGAAATCGGGGGGGGGGGCGGAGAACGCCTAGCCTTTTGCAAATGACAGGATATGTTCGTTCTGGTTGGTTTGGAGCGCGTGCTTTATGAGAGCGTCATTCCTATCTAAAATAACGGTTGTTGTAATTTGTATTTTATAAAAGAAATAAAACATTTGCTTGCTGTGCTGTGTGCAACTATAAAGCACTTGGGGATTGACAGAACACTAGAGAAGTGTCCAGAATCATTCCGCTACGCGTCATGCTTCTCCTAACACTTATCTCGTGTTCTGCCAACCCCTGCGTGCTTTAGGACTGCACACAGCACGCGCGCGCGTTTTTATTTCTTCAATATCACCCCTCTGATTACCGTTTACAAAGCTCAACGCCTCCCCATTTTTTTATAAAATACCATTTTATTTCGTTGATATAAAAACTTCTACAAAGTTACAAGATTATAAAGAATTATATCTGAATGATTACATCTATATAAGTTTAATTTAGACAATTTGACTTTGAAGTTTTAAATTACTCAGTTATATTAATTACGATTGCAATTATTTATAATTTTATGTGAAAATGTTTTAGACATGTCGATTTTTGAGACATGTTTTTTGTGTTGAACACTTTTACATCATTTCCATGATGATGAATTTACTAATACACCACTTGTTGCAAGTGTCATTCCCTTGAGAGTATCATTTCTTTGTCAAATGGTTGTGCATGAGAAGACATGAATCATGGATACAAATGAAACAAAGAATCTTATACCCCATTCACACCAAGGCTTAAACATGTTTAAAAGTGGTTTAACTAAACAGGTTTGGAAAACTATCTACGAACACTGCACAATATTTGGTGGAATAATGCATGTAAACTATAAACTGTGACAATATTTTAGAAAGTTTCATTATATTGTAGGTTTCCAGTTTCTCTATTTTTTTTCCTATGAAAACAAAGTTTAACTAAACACGTTTAGGTGTGAATAGGGTATTATTTTCTAGGGAATGACACGTGGTTTGAAATGGAGAGACATTGCAACAAGAGATTATATAGGTCTCCTGTCTTTTGTAAAACATGGTTGTCGAGAAAGAAATCTATACTTTGTCAAAATAAATAGGAATATTTACAGAGTTATATTATGTTTAATATTCATCTATAATTCTATATGAAACGAAGGATTAGAGTGAGAACCTCTTATATTCTTAAAGTGTAATTTAAGTTCTTTTAAATTGGTGTTGTTCTGTGCCGGATTTAGTGCTTGATCCTGTTAAAAAATATCATCAATTGTTTTATTAATTCAATAATTTATTAATAAAGTTATTAACCTCACTCATATATCGATACAACTTTTATTATTATTGTTATTGTTATTGTTACTATTATCATCATTCATTAATGAGATTTAAGTACAAAAAGGTTTAAGAACATTGATTAAAAGCTAATGATTGAAGAAGAGGGTTAATCATCGATAAATTCAGCAAATTCCAATTCGAAATTCAAATAATGAGGGCCATGTTTTTGTAAATCACTGGCTATTAAATGCTACACTCGTAAAACAAGATTTGTTTAAATTGTACGCATCGGTCATTCATTAATTTGATTCCGTCGTTTTAGAAATTAAGTTTTATTTCCTCATTTACTTATTCCCGTCCTATTCCCGTCCTATTCCCGTCCTATTCCCGTCCTATTCCCATCCTATTCCCATCCTATATTCCCGTTTTATGTTTTACTGTACAATGCTTAGCAGTGGATTGTGAACATACCTGTGCAGACTCGGCGTGTCTCAACCTACTGACGGGCATATTACCATCGATATTAATGCTGAAAACAAGACCAAAATACATTATTATCCTGATGTCCTGATGAATCATGTTGATATTCTAACAGGCCAATTCAGCTTGGGCGGGATTTTTCAGCTGGCGTCATTCAATTGATGAACATTCTGCACGAGACAGGAAATGACGTCAAATGAAACTCAGCAATTAGACCATCTGGACTCGGTCGTATAAAAGATGGATAGCGCTCTCCAACGGAAAAAAATCTTAGCCAAATGATAAATCAAATGGATAACAGCATCGACTTATATCCACTGGATAAGGATTAATCCGTTGAATAGCGCTATCCATCCTTCGTACAATCGGGCTCAGAAGAACATATTTTAATGAGTGGAAGACTTGAGACTGATCAAGACGTTAAATGGTTTGCACCGATCAAAATGGGTATGAAAATGCACAAACACACTAAGATCGAACGTCGAACTTCACAAAAGCCGAACCTAATAATATCAAACAAGACCGCCTTGTTATCCATTGTTTCAATTAGGTTCGGCTCATGTGAAGTTTGACGTTTGACCTGAACCTAACTATCCATTCACAATATTGAGACATGCTAAACATGCAGAGAAACACGGCAATGATACAAGGCACAACTGCTTGGCGCCTTGATTCTTTTTAAGCAACAGACATTGCAAAAGCAAAACTTATTTACTCGATTCATTATCAATTTTAAATATTTTACATTGATTTTTATTTACAGCGTCTTTTAAAAGCATTTAGTGAGACATAACCATTTAATTTGTGACTATGTAAATAAAGGGACTTCAAACCCCTTCACTTAATTAACTATGTACATTAAGAAAAAATATGAAATGCTTCTTATAAGATCTTTAATTTTAACTGCTCCTTTTTCCATTTTTAAATGATTATTTTAATTAACTATGTATATCAAGAAAACGAATTTAACATTTAATAGTATCTTTATTTTAAACTGCTTGTTTTTCTATATTTAGATGATCTTTTAACATTGGGAAAGAAAAGTAATGGATTCTGCTCAAGTCCTAAGATATTTTTCTTTTCGTCAAGTCATGATCATGTATCAGCGCCGTAGCCAGCTGATTTTAAAAAGTGGCGTAGAAACCACGTCACTGTAAAACTGAAGTGTCATATACCTAATCGAAAAATGGCGACCAATTTGAATAAGCAATTATTGGATGAGGTTGAGCATGATATCGTAAATTATCAAGACCGAGGCTGTTATCTGCCGAAGTCTAAGGTCTTGATAATTTATGATATCATGGGATAACCGAATTCAATAATTGCTTTATTATACATTTTGTATACTGGAAAAACATTAACATGAACTTTAAATTATAGAGACAAGAATTATGAACGCCATGATGTCGCGTGAAAAACGCAACATTTTTAATTCAGAATTGAAATATTTCAAGAATTATTCATAAAATATATAAAAATAAGTTAAGGATTCCACAAATAGTTATTTTTGTAATTATATATAATTCTGGAAATAAATACACATAATGAATAAAAACAAAGCTACCACAGCGTGACCTTGAATGAACTTGGCATGATAAATGTATTATCTGTGGGAAAACCTACACGAAATCAGGGATTGGCTGAGGGCTCTCGACCAATCAGAATTTAGATACTTAGTAAAATGTATAATAATAACTATTGTTCTGTATTGACCAACGACTGACTAGCTTCTCATACATGTGAAAACGCTTTAACGTTGCAATGTGAACACCAGGCTATTCAGTCGCTAGCTGGTGCAGAACAATACTTATTCAAATTGATCGCCATTTTTCGATTAGGTGTAAGAAGCCTACGAAAATAGACCAGCCAAAAATAAAAGCATGCCCGCCATCTCATTAAAAGTATAAATTTCATGAATTATTGTTTCACTGTTATTAAGCGCTCATAGCAAGGATTTTTTCATTTGGTGGCCTGGAAATCCATAATTTCGAAAGGTGACACTTCAGTTTCGCAAATTTTTCTCGATTCTGATTACCTTGCATTTTTTCTCTGATGAGATGAAGGGCAACAGGGCCGAATTATTCTGTCAAATATTGCTACATTTTTGCAATGGCAAATAGTTTTAGCGGGAAAACCCAAATAGACTTGTTTTGATGGCAAGGTCTAAATTCATTCTGATTCTTCTTCGAGATCATCATTAGTGCACGTTAGGTTAGGTATCAATGTTAATTCATTTGACCAGCAGAATAATGGCGACAAGCAAGACATTCTCATGCGCATGCGTGGACAACTATATAAAGAAAAAAGGAGTCCATGCGATGTTACTAACGTTATTGGAGGAAACCAGGGAGGTGGGTGATACACGGCTCGACAAGCGTCCTCTGTGCCTCTTGCTAGCGGTGCCCAAAGAGAGATATTAGTATTCATATTGATATTAGGGAATATTAACACAGTATTCTTATTATTAATCGAACAGGATCACGTTAATACCGCATGGCTTAAGAGCCTCGGGGCAGTCGGAAATGAGTCTTAAAACGAAAAAAAAATGTTAAGATGTAAAAGTAAAATTAGACAATAGTCCGTTCTTGTCGGTGTTAATTTAAGGTAATAGACCTATCCAGAATTCGCTTGACTGACCACGAAACAATGGTTTCAAGTCGAGGTTGAACTTGATGAATAAAAGAAGCAAGTTCAGTCTCTACTTCAAACCATTGTTTCGTGGTCAGTCAAGCGAATTCGGGATAGGTCTATTATTAGCAATATGATTGGGTTTTATTTCTGATGCGTTTAGCAAATATGTCATATTATGGATATTATTTTTGTAAAGATTCTTTTTACTTACACTCAATAAGCCTGAAGCGAGATGACGTTTTACCCCCGACTCTGTACCATAATAGTTTTTAAAATTCTTTCATATTAAAATTTTTGATTCCTTAGAGAATACAGGAACAATAGTCATAATTAAAGAACAAAARCAGTGTGAAAAGGATTATGGTCTAGAGACGGGGGTAAAACGTCATCTCGCTTCTGGCTTATTGCGAAAAATTATGTTCCGTTCAATTGAACATAGAACATAGAGGCTGAGAGAGTAATGGTACATGGGAGCTTCGTTAGATGTGTCTAGCGATACAAATAGTGGAATGTTCATATAAACTGTTGCACTGACAGAAAGACAGGAGCTTTTAACTCTTGTTTCATATCGACTGTGTATATTCTTAAATGATTACTTCAGAGGATGAGCGATGATATTTCCCATAATACCTTTCGGTCTCATCGTCTACTTTCTATGTTTTTTCTCGACAATAATTTTGCAGTTTAGTGTATATATGCTTTTAAGTTGTCATTCTCTTGAGTATTATTTCTTTGTTTTATTGTAGCGTTTAATGTGATGAATTAACAAGTTTGTCTCAATCAAAGGCATTGTAAATGATGATACAAGAAATTATGGGAAAAGTCTTGACCATCCACGGATTACAAAGGGAACTTTATACACGACCTAACAGTTACACGTTAATCGTCATGTGACACTTTAATAGTTTTATAATTGTGAAATTACACAGTAAATTTGAGAGGACCAATTTGGCCCCAGAGAGCCATTTTGGCTTTTTCAAAGTAGTGCCATTTCACCCCAGGCTAGGACCAAAATAGAACAATGCTATTTTGGCCCCACAGAAGCCATTTTGGTATGGGTTTATCAATACTGTCTTGGCCCCCTCAACTAGGCCAAATCAGGGGGAAAATTCATATAAGGGGCTAAAACAGTCCCAAAATCAGAGCTAAAAAATGGTCCCTACCGGTTTACTGTGTAGTATGTAGAAAGGTTAATAGAGCTTTCCCAAATTCGCATGAGTGACCATTAAACAGCGATTATGAATATATTTGTTTGCATTGAATACTCTTGCAGTACAAATTGCAGTATGATGCTGCAATAGTTGTAATTCCAGCAAGCAAGGAATGCATGCATGCATGCATGGAACACTTTTATAGTGTGACCTTATTTACTATAGAGGGTTTGTTGCATGCATGCATGGAACACTTTTATAGTGTGACCTTATTTACTATAGAGGGTTTGTTGCATGCATGCATGGAACACTTTTATAGTGTGACCTTATTTACTATAGAGGGTTTGTTGCATGCATGCATGGAACACTTTTATAGTGTGACCTTATTTACTATAGAGGGTTTGTTGCATGCATGCATGGAACACTTTTATAGTGTGACCTTATTTACTATAGAGGGTTTGTTGCATGCATGCATGGAACACTTTTATAGTGTGACCTTATTTACTATAGAGGGTTTGTTGCATGCATGCATGGAACACTTTTATAGTGTGACCTTATTTACTATAGAGGGTTTGTACCATCACGTGATGGCAGCCATGAAAGACGGCAAAACAATGAAGCCTTTTCCCTAGGGAAACTGATTTTTTATGTAAATCAGATTATACCAGATTTAATTGTTCCCGCTTCTTGTCATGGCTGCCATCACGTGAAGACGCAAAGCCTCTATAGTGTTTGAGTCTGACTTTATTTTGGTATACGTACAGAAATAAAAGAAATAGCTATTGAACGTTCCCTTTGAGTACATTCCATACCAATTGAGCATCAAAATCAAGAGTAATATTCTATTGTCCCTTTTTAAGAGAGACTGGAGACCAAACTGTTGCGCAAAGAATTATGGGATAAAAATCAAAAGGCCGCCATATTGTATCCCATAATTCCATGCGAGTAAGTTCCTTACAGTCCTTTACGTTCCTTTCATAAATATATTTGTACTTCAAGAGATTAAAATGCAACATTCACTAAATAATATTTATTTTAGTTCAGAATTAAATAATTGTGCTTACTAGTGTGGCTCGTCGTTGAAAGTAACTCTTGCATTTCTTCGAATTCTCTCTCGCTCGCGTCTTTTCCTTCAAAATAAAGAAAAGTCATTCATATAAAATATTGGAGATTAATAATTTAAGATATTTATTGGAGATTAATTATTTAAGATATTTATTGGATATTTATTATTTAAGATATTTATTGGAGATTTATTATTTAAGATATTTATTGGAGATTTATTATTTAAGATATTTATTGGAGATTTATTATCTAAGATATTTATTGGAGATTTATTATCTAAGATATTTATTGGAGATTTATTTTTCAAGATATTTATTGTTAACTGGTAGTTGTGGACTCGAAAGTTGTTAACTACTTCAACAACCACACACACATTATTCTTTATTTATTTTTTCTATAATAGATATATATTGTCATTACGTTTTCTTCCTTGTCAAATAAATTTTCGAAACTAGTAATGTTAACAAAAAATTGTAAATATTGTGTGTGAATAAAAATTGATTGAATGATTGAACTGTTAGAAAGTAGAATGCGATGTTGACGAGATGCCTGTGTAAATGTTTATTTTATCGATGGGTTTCCTGTGTGTTAAGGTTAGCGGTATTTTCCATCGATCAACGAGGCTCTTAGAAGACCAGTCGGGAGGAAATATTTAAACTATAGGTGGGTAACCTGTGGTAAGGCTAGAAAAAAAGTCTGATAACCCGGCTAGAAAATATCTAGAAAATAGTTAACAGGGTAACCTACACTTTTAACTCATAACAAAAGCCAGGCAGAATGTAATTATATACTTATTTCAATAAATTCAAAAATGAATTATGGGTAGATACATACATGTTTCAGCCACTTGATAACTTTTGATGCACTTGTACATCTTTTACTCAAAAGAGATTTATTTGTTTGAAATGTTCCTTAGCGATCTCAGGTTTCTAGGTTTGTTGACAAACTTTATTGAAATAAGTATGTTATGCGTACCCTGTGGTGTAGAAGTGAGGTCAGCGGTACTTACTTTATGAGAATAATAATCATAATAATTCCACCAACACCAATCAGTAAAGCCAGGCATATCATGGCTCCGACTATAGCTGATAAGCCACCTTTTGAGATCTGCTTCCCCGTTTTGGGAAGCTCATAGGTTCTTATGTTCCATTTGCTATACTTGTTTTTAATGTCATCCTCTCTTCTTTTTAGTGACCTGTGAAAAAGGGAATGAACAGTGTGTATCTGAACAGAAGCACAAGATAAAAAAATCTTGTAAAATTGTTTTTTTCCTCCACCTTAATTCTTTCCACCTTCCTTCTTTTCCTTTTATTTTTCACCCATCCAGACAAAACAAACCGATTTACACTATCAAATAAGATAAAACAGATAAATAAACACTATTTACTCATGAATTTGATCAGATGTCGACTCCGTCTTGTTCTTGACAACATTAAAAATAATCTCCGACCTGTTGGCAAAAATATTTAACACATTGTTAAGTTTTTAAGGATGAATTGTCAATAGAGTTATCAAAGAAGCAATGGTTTAAACCAATGGACCTTTATCACAAGGCGGCTATGTTTATTCTATTTAGAATAAAAACCTTTGTTTCCCCAGCATAAATTAATTCTCAAGCGCCTGAATTTGAGGCTACGCGTGGTGGAATCTATTGTTCAATCCAACATGGCTGCCGCGTGAATAAGGCCCATTACAGGTAGGAGACACGGGCTTGATCACGACACGTTCGTACACATACGAAATTTGTTATAAAATAATTACTTACGAATTGGTTTTTCCTCCTATAGGTCTGACTGACTTAATGAAAGCCTTTCCTCCAGTCAAATCATCAAGGACACTATTGGAAAAATAAAACAGCTTATAGACTTAGTTCAAATTTGTAAAACACCGGTGAGTTCCTCTTCCGCAGACACGTTTACTCAGGGCAACAAAATATCGTGTTAGACAAGAACAATCAAGAAATCGTCTTTGGGACGGAATCGTCTCGTGTAACATGATTTGAACCCGAGAATGTTGCACAGGAAAACGAAGGAAATTCATTGCTTTCATTAACCATAATTATAGATTATTACCCTCGGAATTCTTCGTCGTTTTTCAGGATGAAATCTTGACTGACATCAGCTGTGATAATCAGACTATGAGAATCTCGGAGAACAAAAACCTAAAAATGGTAAGTAAGAAAGATTAAGAGAAAAATAAATAACGGGGTTCTTATATAGCGCATTTTACATGGTCTCAATGCGCTTCACAATCATGACCAGTGGAGGACTTTACGGGCTGCGTATTAAGGCGTTAGTAGCAGCCGTGCAGCTTACAATCATGAGTGATTTGTTAGTAAGTTAGTATTAATGCCTCCAGATTGGGAAAGGCTGTTGAACCGGGAGACAATCCCCTACTCTTATACGAATAATTCAACAGGTTGTTTTATGTCCCCCATTTTATTGTAGGTTAGGAAGGGTTGGGAGACAGAGCCTACGGTTTTAAGCCCTTCTCCGAGAAGACTTGAAGGTCTAACCATTTGTAGATTTTTATTACAAAGGCAGCACCTTCTCCTCAGTTATTTTAAGGCCCTGAGTGTTGGTCCGGCCGAGGCTTGACAGACCGACGCTCTTACCAACTGAGCTAGCCGGGTGGCGATGAATAAAGTGGGAAAACGCTAGATGTGATTTTTAATTTCATTCTTCTGCATAGACATCATCGCCCTCATCTTGATTCCCGTGGCTGAACTAAAAGTCGCTCGTATCACAGTATCGCAATCAAATTAATTACAGAACTTTTGAAAACTGTAAATTGATGGTTTTCACGGCGGCCATGTTGGAGGAACTTAACAAAAGAATTGTCAATGAATTATTTAGTTCTCTTGGGAATGATTTACAACCATCAATAGAGTGATTTTCATAAACCCGTGAAACAGATATCATTAAATAGTATGCAATAGAGAAATGAGAACAAAAGAACACGATGGAATTAGTGTACAAAGTGTATTTTACTTACACATAAATTTGCCTCTGTTGAATTTTTAGGTGGACTCCCTTTGTCTTTGGCTCTACCTTTAAATATATAAAGTTCTCCCTCTTTATCTACAAACGAGTTTGCACTGCGCAGACGTCCAGAGACAGTTTCCAGGTGGAAAAGGAATGGGACAGGATTTTCTGTGAGCTCGTATATGACTTCCCCGTTTGCACCACTGTCTGCGTCTGTAGCCTAAAACACAAATATGCAAATTATATGATATTCTGCTTTTATCATTTACACACTCTTTGAATACCCCGGAGAGTGGTTGGGTTGGGTTGGGTTGGGTTGGGTTGGGTTGGGTTGGGTT